TACTTAGAATTATATCCTGCCTCTTCTCTTTATGTTCTGTTTTCTGTTCAATGTACATCTTTGTAGTTTTAACTTGGAAATATGTGACTGGTTCAAATTACTAAACAATGTTCTAGAGTAGGTCTTTCCAAACACTATTGAAACTTTAATCATAACACCAGGCCTACAACTCAATTTTCACACCTGTTTTGAAAATTATTTAAAACTAGTGTTAAAATTTCACTATTTAGTGCTATTTTTATTATTATGATTTTCATGATATATTGATTGCTGCCCAATGATGTTTCTAGTGATGTGTTTATTCCCGTCCTCTATTTTATTATATATTTTAATTGATTTATACACCTTTGTGATTCCTGGGCAGCTTACTGAAAGTAACAAGTGTCTTCAGAACTTTAAATGTACGTGGGTGTTTACAGAGAGTGATGGTCAGTGACAGTCAGTAACAAAGAACAAGGAAGTAAGTTGTGATATGCATGCAGAAAAGTACAAAAAGGATGTCTTGGGAAGAGTTCAGGGCCACTGGCTGTAGCTAATCCTTGCTGGATTCAGCTATGACAATGGACCTTATTGCAATAAGATGCTAATTTAAATAATGCTATGCTTGCTATTCATGTTCAAAAATTGTTCATAAAAAAATAAACCTCTGATCTTAAAGTAAGATTTATTGCCTGTGGTTGCTTGTGGTTTCCCTTTGTTTTTTATATAGGGAATTTTTTATAACAATTATATTCTTCTTGTTCGAAGAATCCTATTCAAATTGCAGCCCCTTTAATAATCCTAAAAGAATTCTCAGTCTCTAAACCACAGTCATACAAATCATACTCCAAAACTGATTTGGATGTGTTCTTTCAAATCTCCACAAAGATCCAATTTCATTTTAAATAGTTTTTCATCACATTTTAATAATAATTTATGTTTGGAACTCTGCACTTTGATAGGGCCTATGTGATGGGCTCAGTGGCTAAGTGGCTCAGCAGCAGTGGTGGGTTGCAGGTGGTACACCCTGTTACGGGCGTATCGGAGCCTGCCAGGAGCACTGGGTACCGTTCCGGTACGGTGCTCCAGAGGGCCCACCTGCCCACCCGAGCGCCTTACCTGTCCTTTAAGCCTTTGGCACTTCCGCGCACGCGCATAGTGCGTACAGCACCTGTGCGATGCTCCACCGAGAAGCTGGAGCGTAGCAGAGGCTTGTGGAAGCTTCGTAGGCAAGTACGACGCAAGCACGCACTGTGCATGTGTGCGTGCGTGCCGCGCGTGTCCATGTGGGTGATGCCGGGGCTGTTCCAACCGTACTGTTTGGAACGGAATCTGGAACCCACCAATGCTCAGCAGGTAAGATGCTGAGCTTGTCAATCAGAAAGGTCGGCAGTTTGGCTGTTCAAATCCCTAGTGCCGTATCACGGAGTGAGCTCCCATTACTTTTCCCAGCTTCTGCCAACCTGGCAGTTCGAAAGTACATAAAAATTCAAGTAGAAAAATAGGGCCCACCTTTGGTGAGAAGGTAACAGCGTTCCATGCGCCTTCGGCGTTTAGTCATGCTGGCCACATGACCACGGAGACATCTTTGGACAATGCTGGCTCTTCGGCTTTGAAACAGAGATGAGCGCCACCCCTAGAATCGAAAACAACTAGCACATATCTGCGAGGGAACCTTTACCTTACCTTTACCTCATGGACTAATCAATAAACTAAACTCTAAATATCTTGAAATCTCAGCCAAGCATAACAATTCTCTGCTATTCACTAAGGCCAGCATTCCATCTGAATCTGGAAGATATATTGTGGCTGCTTTAAGAGGCACACTGAGATCCATTAAAGAAACAGTTAGGTTGGTCTGTGACCATAATACAGATTTGATTTGATTCGATCATTTAAAGCAATACCATCTTTCTCTTTTTCCAGTTCATATGGAAAGCTCAAAAAGTTCTAGTTAGTTAATGAGATCTTACCTTTTACTTCAAAGATATAAGGCATTGAAAGCATACACAACATTAATTAGACCTTTTAATGGCTTAAGAAAATATGCCCTTCCATGTCCCAAAGGTGCTTTTTCAAGAGGCAACTGGACTTTCTTGGTTTTCTTTGAAGATGTTTAGCTTCTCATCGAAGAAGCTTCTTCAGTTCTCTTGGATGAGAAGCGAAATGTCTTCAAAGAAAAAACAGGAAATCCAGTTGCCTTTTGAAAAATCATCTTTGGCACAACCCTGACCTGGATGACTGAGAATCTCCATAGACATGTCCTCCCACGATTATGACATTTAAAATATCAGGCCGAATGCAGCCCACCCATCTAGATTTGTAGGCAAGGTCTATGAATGGCATACTAAAAAATACAATGATCCACTACAACCGTATGGAAATCTCACATTCATTCATTTTGGTTAAAAGATTCGTGCCTTTAATTATATTCAGGACCGAATCCTAAAGCAAACAATGCATTCCTGCCCTGTTTTATAAACTCCGCCTTGTTAAATATGTCATTAAAATGTACTTATCAGTCAAAGGACAATACAAAAGGGCATGTTCTGTGCTCTCAGCTGAAATATTTGCAGGGTCTCTCTTTTTTTTGAAAGAGTTACTCAGGCTTTTACAAACACTTTCCAAAAGCTAAATAATGATAAACTACAGACTGTAAAAACAATGTCTATTGCTAGTCTTCTTTGCAACTGGGGCAAGAGAAAATATTTCCCCGCCAGAATTTGACAGCAGATTTCAGGCTGTGGGGTCCTTGGTTGCTTTGTGAGCTTGGTCGTTTCCTAGCAGATGTTTCATTACCAAACTAGGTACCATCATCAGGGTACTGTTAAAACATCTGCAAGGAAACAAGCAAGCTCAGAAATGCTTCCAAGGCAAGGATGAAATGCTACTGGTTCAGACCGGTTCGCCTGAACCAGTAGTAAAAATGCTACAGGTTCACCCAAACCGGTAGTAAAATAAATGAAACTGGTTTGAGTGAACCAGTTTTCCCGACGATCAGTTGTGACGCACGTTTTATATTAGTTAGAAAGCAGGATTTCCTGCTTTCTAGCTAATATAAATTGCATGGAACAGCAATTGCCCCTCTCCCCCTGCTGTTCGCTTACCTTACCCTTTTGATGCTCTGCACATGCGCAGGAGGTACTGGGTGGGGGTGGCATGTGCAGGTGAAGTGAGCGTGCACACTAAAGTGCTCACATTGCTACCGAACCGGTAGCAAAGGTAAATGCATTTTACCCCTGTTCCAAGAAGCCCTCACTCTGGTTTGTGTCATGCATTTTAGCCTAACAATCCTTCTTCAAAGTAAAACTCACCTGGATATTGTATATGTTCAGTGTCCTCATTAACTTCCCAACAATGTCATTTCCAGTGCAATGTTCTGCAGTTAAATTAATCTGAAGAATGACGATTCTCTCATGGAAATAGAGTTTCATTATTGAAAACGATTTGAATGTAGGTCTTCTTATTTTAAAAGCCAGAGATAGGGGTTGATGCACAATTTGTTTTATAGATAGAATGCAATCATTACTATAGTCAGGAGGAATGGAAGCCCACCTAATTCATACCTGGAGTTCAATTTGGACATCTTCTCAATGCATCCTGCTGAGTTTACCACCAAATCCATGGTTCCAATAGACTCAACAGATGGCATCTTCTAGTTTAGTGTTCCTCAACCTTAGCAACTTTGAGACATGTGGATGAATTCTCTTCTATAGATTTGGGGGTCCCACATGACCTTTTTTGTGAGTAGTGACATGAAAGTACTTACTTATGCAGAAAGACAATTTCTACGTTGACATCATCCCTGTCCTTGTGTAGGAAGTCCTTCAAGAAATTGGACACACTTTCCAACGTGATGTGGCCACAGACAACAATGTGCCTGGGACAGAAAAAAGGAAACAGTTAAGTCTGCTGTAAAGATGGCCAGGAAGAACAAGAGCAAATTAATTGAAAGGTTCATGATTTTTGCTTGTAAGAAAATAATAATGAAATAAAAAAGGAAATAAGCATTAATCTGGTGACGGTCTCCAGTTTATTCTTGAAAAGAGAAATGTAAATACACATATTACACGGTCTTAGATGAATATCATTTAATTCAATACATTGTAATTATAGTCACATAAATAAACCAGAAGCACATTGCCTAGCATGCTTCAGATGCTGCATTTCCAGCAGCATTATATGTTGTAAGGGGCAGGACAGTAGCTCAGCGGTTAAGGTACTGAACTTGTCAGCTGGAAAGCTATCAGCTCAGGTTTGAGACCTGAGCTCCATATGACAAGGGTGAGCTCCCACCATCACTCCAGCTCCATGGCATGTTGGCCCCATGATTGTGGAAATGTCTTTGAACAGTGCTGGCTCAATGGCCTTGAAATACAGATGAACACTGTCCCTATAGTTGGAAATGACTAGAGTATTAAAATCCACAGGAATTACTTTATATATTGTGAGAAAAACTGCTAAGTTTATAGTTAAGGCAGTTCAGCTAAGAACTCATGACAGTGAACAGTGTGTGTGTGTGTGTGTGTGTGTGTGTGTGTGTGTGTGTGTGTGTGTGTGTGTGTGTGTGTG